TCCTACCATGCCTTAGGACATAGCCAACAAGGTGACCATTCCACTACTATTAATACCTTTCAGTATCTCTTTGATTCCCTGCAAAAAATGCAAATATCATGCCCTACTTTGGTGCCAAAACGATTGGGTTAGAAAATATTTGTTAATTTAAGCTCTAAAGGTAATAATTATAATGATTTTGTAATTTACAGATTGCCGTTTCTCAGTGGTTTGGCTGTAATAATATTAATAATTTAGACGAAATGTCGAAAGAATATATCACAAACTAGAAAGGAAGTCGAAACATTGAAAGTTAACAAAATGAGAATGACTTTAACAATAGCTGATGTTTGGAAAAAAAAAAGGTAGAGGTGACTAACTGAGAAAGTAAACCTAACCTTTGTTAGTTTTTCGAATGAGAAAAGTTACACAAAGCTTCGCCCCCTTCTTGGAATCAGATTAAATCTATTTACAAGTACGAAAATGTTCTCATTTGTGTATTTAAATTAAAGTGTATCTAGATTTTCTTTCCATCAATCATGTATATTGCTAAGGGAAGGGTTAAGAAATATTTAAGTTCTTAACTTTAGGTTTAAGAAAAGATTGATTGACATTAGCTGGAATTTAAGGTTAAATGAGTCTCCTTAACAAGTAATTATTCTGATTGAGTATGTACTAGTGTATGTTTTTGGCAATATAAATTATTGCATATATAGTATTACTATATAATATTATTAGAAATCCTATTTGGAATACTTGCAATCTTGCATCTCTTGTACGGTTTGGGCTCATTAGTGTGAATTTAAAGAAAGTAATGCCTCTAGGCATTGAATTTCATGCTATGTTCGAGCTTCTATTCATGCATATATTAAGCTTAAGATAAGAGCCGGCCCCTGAGCTCGTTAAGTTGACTTCACCCAATAGAATATGCTGAATTTAATTACCATTAAAAGTAGAAAAGTCGTCTGCTTTTCCTCTATTAGAACTTTGGTCACCCTGTTTGCGAAATCGCATGGGCGCTTATGTGCGTTTTGCTGTGTGTGGGTGGGTGGGTGTGTGTGTGTGTGTGTGTGCGGAAGTTGCATGCGGTTACAAAAAAGCACCAAAACGGAAGTTAGGTGCACATGCTGTTGTCTATGTGTGCATGTGTGTATGTGTGTCTCTCTGTTTGTGTGTATGTCTATGTGTGAGGGTGTAATGAGTGTGAAAAGTTCATTAAAGTTGCACGTGCGAAATTATATGAAATTTTAAGTGCATGACTTGACTTGCTCGACCCCTTTCCCAAGCCTACTCTCCGGCCGCCAGTGCATCCGCAGTCGTTACGGCAATCGTTTGGGCCGTCGACGTCGCAGGAAGTGCAAATTATTTTCCCAAGCCATTTTATGTTGTTTGCGCTTAATTGCCGCCGCTGCCGTCGACAGTGCAGTCATTACTTCCTCCTTAGCTGATTTATTATTTAATTGCAATAAATGTTCACTGCAATTTTCGAAGGTAGAGTAAGCTTGCTGGGCCATGTTATTATTTAAAATATACTTCGGAAGGAAATACTATATAAATTAATGAATGAATAATAGGCTTCGAATGTCAATCACTTCACGAATTCTATGGAGAATTAACTGCAAACTATAGCTACACTTTTTAAAGCTTGTAAATACATATATTTTGGTTTTTCTTAAAGACAATCCCCAAATATGCCATCATCTATGAAGAGCTGTAGACAATCATTAGCAATCATTCATCCACTAATAAGATTTCTCCATCAGATCTGCATTGTATAGTATTTATGAATTTTTTTTTTTTTTTGTAAACCTTCACCATAATTGAAAAAATACACAGATTATATTAATATGAGACTGTCTATCAATATAAAGTATTATTTAGAGAATCAGCAATTCATTTTGTTCAAATATAACTCAAAAATAGTTTTCTATCTGCATGAAAGTAATTGAATATGGACATAAATATTTGTCAATTGACTGCAATGTTTTTGACAAAGAAACTTTTTAAAACGTTATTAATAATTCATTGTATTTCTTTAGAAAAGAGATTTAAGTCGTTGTGCTTTTAAAAAGTCCGCCTTTCAAACCTGAGTCCCCCAAAATATTATTTAACAAACTTATAGTCCTTTCTAACAACTTATTAATTTTAATAGTTCTTCCTACTAAAATTTAAATATAATACAGTTTAAAACGATTCGCTATAAGCTTTGCCACCTCAGACGTATGAGCACATTTACATTTATACAAATATTCTCCTATCACATTTCTATAAGCCGGATATTTTTGGCTATTGCCTCAATCACACTTCACTATTCATTTGCATGTCAATTCAAAAATGCACACGCGCAATTTTGATTGATTTTTCTACACGAACGATTTCAATTTGAAGCAAAGAGAAAATTTTAGACGCATGCCGTCTCGCTCGTGTGGCGCGTCTATCTCGCTCGACCGCATTCGAGTTCTCTAAGCCTTTATAGAAATAAAATCATTTACGTCCACATTTGCCATTCTCTGGCATACAATAACAAATGTCATGCTGTGCCACCTTTGTGTATCCTCATCAAGCAGCCAACCTGTTGCATGCAAAATCAACTGTGATTTTCGGTTCAATGGACTAAGCGCCAATAAAAATGGGCAGCCGGCCGCTGCGGAAAGGAAAGGTAGGGAAAAAACTGTCATTGACACTTACAAATTGGATTTTCGACAGCACCAACAACAGCCAATTATCAGGGCAACCCATAATGTCTGATGGCACCGAAAAATGCCGCTTTAAAAACACAACTTAGATAAATGTCGCATGTAAATAACAACAAATCAATTTTTGAATAGACAGGCTGGCAGACAGGCGGCAGGGCTGGAATACAAGGGCAGACAGGGCGGGCTGTGATGCTCGTGACCATAGATACAAAGCTCAGGCCGCATACAGGCCAGCAAACGAGCCAACATGAACCCTCCTCAAGTTGTCTGCCTATCCTTGTGTGTGTGTGTCTGTGTGTGCCTGGATGTGTGTGCTTGAATCTGTGTCTGTGGGCCTATCTTACGAGCCTGTAACTGTCAGCCCCCGCAGCAAATGACTTTTCTAGATACAAGTTCACAGTTGGATACAGGTAGCAGATAACGGTTGTATTCCGGCTTGATCCCAAACTGAATACACTGCTCGCCATTGGTAAACAGACAGCTCCATGTGGAGGCTAAATATTACAATTTTTCATATATATATTTATCCATTGTTCTTTATTCTAATCACAAATCACTCTTAGGTATAAGTTTTAATCGGAAACATTGTAAAACCTTTCAGTGAATCAGAAATAAAGAAAACAAAAAAATTATCTGATTAAAAAGTGTACCTAAGCCTAAATCAATAAAATAAATCGAAAATGCGCAGTTTTTATGGACCCTACTCGAATATGATTTTACATTATTTTTGTATTCAACTCTATTAGCTTTTTTTAAATAAAATATAAATAAACATAAATAAATAAAATTTGCTCGTTTTTCGAATTTTTTCAAACATAATTGTTTTTGGAATGTTCGGAAAATCATTAAAAATTCGGAAACTATTTTAATTGATTCAAACCTTAAATCCGCTTAACCTTTTTATGTTTAAAAAGAAATTTAATAAAGTACTTTTTATCAATAGACAAGTTGAGAAACAAGGGTTTTAATATAAAATAAAACAAATATTTTTGTAGCATTTGCACAAGTAACTTATTTCATTTAATTCAAATTGGATTTGGCACAACGCAATTGCATTCCAGTGTACTCCTGTTTCACGGCTTTTGCTTTAACAGTCTACTTTTAGGCGGTCGGCCCCTGCGTGCGTTTGTTCCATCGACACCCCTGATTAATTGCGGTAAATGTTATGTTAATTTGTCAGTATTTTTTCAACGTCTACTGATTTTGGATAGCGTGCTGTTTTTTCTACCATTTACTGGGGTTTTCTAAGCTAATTTGGCTTTCAACCTGTCAATTGGTGCCCTCCCAGAGCATGTCAAACTGTTGAGTGTGCTTGAGCGTGCGTGTGCGTGTGCGTGTATGGACACTTTGGATTTGTCAAATGCTAATTAATTGACAACATATGCTTGTACATAATGAGTACAGTATATTTGTCAAAGCTTTCGCTTGTATTTGTTGTAATATGATGCCATGAGCATACTAATTAATACTGTAATTCACTCAACGCGTGTCTGGCCACAAAACGATTGAGGGCAGCTTAAGTGGGCGGCTAAATTGATTTTTAACATAATATGATTTGAGGATTTTAATCTTATTAAGTACTACGTTTAATAAATTAGCTTATAAATTATAAAATCACGCAATGGAATCATGAAATATTCATGATTGAAACAATCAATTGTTTATTTTTACATTAAATCGTTTAGGTATTCGTTAATAAACATTAAACAAACAATAAAATGCAGCTTATACATACATGCATTTATATGTGTATGCGGAATAAATCAACATTAAAGTAAAATAAAAATTCCTGTTAGTGCTGGCAGTACAATTAATTGTTAACTCTTCTTCATTCATTTTTAACAAGTGTACAACCCACTAGAGTGCTGTCAACCTTCCCCTTTCCCAGTATTGCGGCAACTCGAGACGTCGAGCTGAGAACGTCGTACAGAGAAGTCGTTTGTCCGTAAATATTACTTTCATCTCGAATAAACATCTTATATAAGTAGAGATTATTTTCTGAACTTTAATTAATCTTCAATTAATTAATTAATCAATTTTGTTCTTGTTCTTTTTAATGGAACAGTTCAATGCCGTTCTCAGCTGCCACCACCATTTCTTTTCGACTGGCGAATGCTATAAAGTAAAAACAACTACAACAACTGAACTAACAAATCTTAGCTATGCAAGGAAAATGTACTTCAATTTTCAGTGAAAGTTTCGTTAAGGGACCTATTACGTCTTAAAACAAATAAGTGCAGCTCTTCTAGTAATACCAAGTGAAAATTTGCGAATAATGAATACACATCTATATAGCAATATCTCAAACTTCAATTAGTAAGGCATAATAAAATTTTCTAAATTTTCCATTATCGGAAAGCAATGGCAGAGAAGCTTGCCATCTACTTGACGGCCCTGTTTCAGGTGCTAGGCTGTTCGTTCTTTTTCACTCAGCCGGAGGATCAGTGCTCGCCCGCTCCCTCGCTGGCCAGCTGGATCTTCTTGCTGGCCACTCTATGCTATCTGTGGGACACGTGCATCTTTCCGCAACGATTCTGCCACATCCCCAGATATTATCAGGTCATCTTTGAGATAGTCGCGTGCGTTCTCATAACTGAGGTGGGAATGCTGATCATTTGGTGTGCCTTCGAGCGAGTCATTTATGCTGTGGTGCAAGAGTTGTTGTTGTTCCTGGGTCTGAGCGGCTGCCGGCCTTGGTGTTTCGAGTACTGGGTGCTCGGCTTGCTTACCACGGCAGTGAGTGGCGCCATTCTATGTTGCATGCTTGATGCCACCGATGGATTATTGATGGTGATGAAGTTCTACTGCGGACTGCGTAGAAGTCTGACCTTGAGCTGGAAAATGCTAAAGTGCTATTGGAACATGAATGGCAGTGCCAGACGCAGGGCTCTGAAGGTGTGCCAGCTGGCCAACCGATGTGCTCCGCGAAATCAACGCGCTCGTAGACGCTGCTGTCAACAGACTGCGGACGATCCTGATGACAACGATGATGAAGAGAATGATGATGATGAACAATGCGATGAGGATGATGACGATGGCTGTGACAGATGCACTTAGTGTTATCGTTGAATGTTGCACAACAATTTTATTGGCAGCTTTAAGTGCCCTTCGAACGCTGTAGCAGCATGACATTTAACAAATCATAGAACGCAGTGGCTATCTATTGCTTTCGATTTATTTTTGGTCGCGATTTTTATGGCCAAGCACCGGAAATTTACTTTCCTCTTTTCACTGCTTCCATTTTTGTTTTGCTTACGTTTCTTCTCTTCTGGCCATCTGTAACAATAAATTTTTCTTTCGAGCTCAAAAGCAACCATAGAGTGTCGCAATAAATGGCCAACAACTGTGCCATTTTGACTTGGCTTCGTTTTCGTATTTTGTTTTTGTTTTCTTTGCTTTCAGCTAGCTGCCAAAATTGTGTCAAAAGAGTGTCCCCAGACAAGGAAGTCAAGGCTCGGCTTTCACGTGCGCCCAATTGTGGGCTCTGCCATCCATCGGGGGCATCGCGAATGCTGCTGATAGTTTGGGCCTTCAATTTGAGCCAAATCTGTGCTATCAGCTGCCATAATAACAGTTGCTGGCATGCTTCTGAAAACGTTTTCGAGGACTGTGGTCGTCGGTTTGGTGATTAATGAAGCGAATTGAGAATTGACTGCTAACTGACTTTTATTAAGGGTTTCCTTCGCATTTTTGTAAAGCAATAAAACACAATTCTTTGCAGAGAAAAAACCAAAACGGACAAGTTAAAAGCAACTTTCCGAACACGCTGCTATGACTATGTTTAGTTTATGGTTAAAACAAAGCAAAGTGAAAAATAATTTGAAACAGACAAGCAAATGATTTGCCAACAACTCAAAAAACTATGCAAATACGAGCAAGGTCGCAAGGGCGACGTTACAAGATTTACTATACTTTGAGCGATGCATTTCAGCGTTTACAAATTAATTAAATTATTATGAAATCTGGCTTCTCAAAAGTCAAATTGCAAGTCCAATTAAAAATAATGAAATACAAGTACTGTATTGCTGGTGTTTATAATTAAGGAGTAATTAAGAAACCTGTAGAAATATACTGCCCTTAGCCAAACACAGTTTTAATAACACTTTTTATATAATTTGCATTCTAACATATATACTCTACCGATTCGCTAGCATGCTAAGAGCACTAAAGCCTCTTAATAGCACAACTAACATAAAAGCTACCTTTTCGTTTGCAGTTGTGCTTAGAAATATGAATGAATTCTGAATTAGACAAAAATGGAATGCTTATGAGAGGTGTTATTAAAATAATGCCTTAAAGAAGTTTCAAATTATTTATTAATGTTAAAATAATATATTAATGAGTTAGCTGAAGGATGGAACCCGGGTTTTTAAAAATGTAAGTTAATTAAAATGTAAAAATGTAAGTTAATTAATTAAAATAAATGCATGTTATATTTTGTACTTTATATAACAACAGAGACTTCTCCAAATAGTTATTTTTTCTGAACAAATAAAGTGTTCCTTTTTAATTACTGCTTTCTAGTGAAATTTCCTCGCTGTTTATTTTTTATATTGACTTGCAAATGTTACCCATTTCTCTTTCCTTATTCACGGCTCTGTCTAGAGACTCTTGTCGTAAATGCTCACTTCAAATATCAAGAGCTATACATGCAAACATTCCCTTCAACCCACTAGGCCTCTTCATACACACACACACACACACACTCAGCATAACACAATCGAGGATTCTCGCGACAGTTGCAAACAATCACAAAACACATTTACAGATTGCCATGCAATTCTGTACCGCCATATGCTAACTTTGATTACTTCTCTAGGCTTTTATCACACACACACATTCAAACACAAACATACACACCCTAAAAAACAACGTGCTCCTACTGTCTGTTTCGGCCATGGCAGCGAGAAAAAAGTTTATTTTTTTGGGTACGTCGGCGAGAAAAAAGCCGGAAACCGGATATGCGACATTTTATCAAGTCAAGCATAAATCACCGGCTTATGTCGGAGTATGAGCGTGTAGGTGGGTGTAGGTGTGTGTGTACATGTGTGGGTCGTATGTCGTTCAGTCTAGCACGCGTCTATTCTAAGCTAAAGTTGTTGTTTGTCTTGAACTAGTTCGGAGAATCTGTCGGTATGTCAAATGAAATTTGTCAAAAGAAGCAATAAATAATTTGTTATTTTGTTTTGCAGAATGAAGATTAATAATTGATTTATTTCAATAAACAAACTAACATTTGCAATAATCCATGGATTTTATGCAAGACTTCAATTGAATAAAATGTTTAAATAACACGTTTAATAGATTTTTAGTGGACACAATATAGTTAATCAGGGAAATTCCAATCTTCTTAATTGAGAAATAGAAGAATTATCAAAGTGGCCGAATAATACTATAGTCTGTCCGAAACCCCCTTCAAAACAGTTTTATGAAGAGCCCCGAAGAGGAAATAAATTATATTGATTGCATTATTCATGGAGCAATAATATGCTCCAATTGCTCGCCCATGTACGAGTATGGAGAGAAAACCCACAGCTTCGGCTTTTGACACACGCGGATTTTCGAAACTGTAGTCAATAAAAAATAATTATATGGTCTGCAACAGGAACCGATTTATAAACTAAAAGTATGTTTGCAAAATTTATTTACACTTGCTAGAAATAAAGTCTGCGATTAAAGAATTTGCAAAACATGTGATTTTTTTGATTGTCCGCAGCAGTGTTTCGTACTTTTCTTTTTAATTTATATATATTATTATTGCCAATACTTTTTCACTTATCAAAAATCGATTTGTATATTATTATTGCCAATACTTTTTCACTTATCAAAATCTATTTGTACTTTTAAAGTCTTGTTTTTATAGAGGAAAACGTAAGTGAGGAAAATAAGTAAAAATTATCGGTACTCACCTGATTATAGTCCAGTTCAAAGCAAATTATCTGCACACAATGCATAATATAGGTGTAATATAACATAAAACCATAGCTAAAATAATGAATAGAACGCTGAAATTGTGCCAATCTGGCTGTTGAATACCCTGTACTCACCCATTTCCACGCTATAGCCGTTCAATGAAAATACGCTTCGTTAAATCAAACACTTCCATAACAGCTTTATGATATAGTTCCCAGATTTATATATAATTTGACATTATGGTGAGGCACTATTTGCTGCCATTTTCTTTTTTGTAGGTACATATGTAACATCAGACGATTCTTGCTCCAGCGTCTTCTTGATGGCCATTTGGTGTTTTGTTTTTTCAAAACCAGCATACAAATAATTTCATATTGTTTTTTTTCCCTGGACGTAAAGTGAGCCCGAACAGGTAATCTACATATGTACGAGTATATATTACTTGAAGCTTGGCAAATGCATTCATACATTCTCGTCTACAAAATTGAGTTATGCGGCACATCTCTATGCCAGACACCTATCGCCTTTGTTCCGCTTCTTTTGTTGTGTTCGTGCAAATTTTACAAATCTACTTACGAGACTTTTGCGCGCCCCCACTTTGCATATGAGCTGTGAATACGTAGAGCATAAGTGTGTGCCCTCAGCTTCGTAATGCTGTGATTTGAACCTTAGCCAACATATGTACATATACGGGTATAGGGGTCGCGTCGCCTGGGTGCTGACACAGTCGCATTGAATTATGCCACGTAATTTGTCTGCAGGCAGGTGTTGCTCATTAATCTTGCGCTGTTGCGCTGTCCTCGGCGCTTCTCATGCCTATTGCCTTAGCACACTCCAGGGGCGAACGCGCACAGCTGCACATAGATAGGCCTTCTCTCTCCCTCTCTCTCTCTCTCGCCCACACTCCCTTATTCACTATGTTCTACGCACACCTACATACACACTTACATAGACGCTTGCACGTATCGCCCAATTGCCTGCACGAATGGGGCTTTTGTTGTTGTTACATTTTCAGTTTCATTTCGAGCAGGTTACCTGCCTGGCGGTTTTATGCTTAATGGATTTGCGCTTTGATGTGCCGCCTGTGTATTAGTGTGTGTTTGTGCGTGTATGTGTGTGTGTATCAGTGTGTTTGTGCGTGTGTGAGTAAGTGGGTAAGTGTCTATATTAGCTGCCATTACTTGCAGGGGTCTGCCCTTTTTTTGGCTGGCGCCTTCATATTTTTTGCCATTTTCATGCAATGTGCCAACATAAATTTATTTCTTTATGGGTCTGTGCCAGCCTACATATTCCAGCGCTGATCCTCGGCTTAAGGCTGTGCATGTGGGCGTGTGTTTTAGAGAATGTGAGAGTATGTGTGTGTTTGCCTTTTAAATTAAAAGGCCTTGTACATGCCTTTTTTTTTGGTTGCATGTTCAGTTTGTTTTCTTGTCGCTGCCAAAATTGAATTTCTCATCAGAAATATTTTAGCATAAATGCTGTACGTGGCCGGCTTCTTGTTTATTTTCCATAAATAATTTATCTTGTTTTCTCAATAATTGCCTCAAATTTGTCCATGGAGATTATCTGTATTGAGAGAGAGACGTGCTCCAATTAACCGAAAATATAACAAAGAGATGCCTTAAATGTTCTTTGAAGAATGTTTATTTTTAAAAATTGAAAATCATTTCACACACCACAATTTATTTAATCTTTTGTTAAATGTATGTTGCCATATTCAGTTGACATTTAAAAATTTGTTTAAATTGTAATGCTATTTGTTTTTTCTTTAACTTCATGATGGCTGATGGCTGATTTTATAAATTTTCTTACGCTTTTTGCAGTTTTCAAACTCTTTTTGTTTATTTTTTATTTAATAGTTTCCCTTGAAAACATACATGATTTATATTTAATGTTTGGTTTTTTTACTTTTTTACAACACATTTGTTTGTCTTTTTATATTTACATTAAAAACAAATTTGAATACTACTGTAAGACTTGAATTGAACCTGTTTTTTGTTTTTCTCAGCTTCTTTTTTCAATCATGGTGGGTGATTTTTTGTTGTGATGTAATTTTCAAAACTTTACACTTACTTTACGTCATATGTTCCATTTAAATTTTAAAAGTTATATTAGTTATATTAGTTAGTTTATACAAATTTCATTTCAGTTGTCTACTTTAAGTTGCCAAACTATTTGTTGATTTGTTAATGAGGGAGCGTAAAGGGTTTTCTTAAACTTAACTAAACTGAATTATTTGCTAAGCAAAATTTAATTTAATTTAATCTCACTTGAATTTGTAGTTAACCTATGCAAACAATTGAGCATTTACCAATATTTCAATCTATAATTCAATGCCATTTTCCGTTCATAACCCAAACGCATACTTTAAGACAAAAGCGCATATTTGCTCATTCACATGCACATATAAATATTTTTTAATTTCCTATTTTTTTCTATCCATTCTTTTAAATTCTATACATTGTGCATTTTGTTCCTGCTACCTTCCTGCTTCATTGTGAATTTTTGTATTAAAATGCATTTATTTTAGTATTTAATAATAGTTTTAAAACAGATCTCTGTATTATAATGTAATATGCAACACTTATTAAATTTATTTTACACTCGTTTGCTTTTGTTTTAAATGGATTAGTTGTAGATAAGAGTTTATAAATAATTAATCTCACACAGTTGAGCGTAATTAATAACTCACATTGAATTGTTTATTTAATGTTTTGTTTGTGTGGTTTTCTGTGTTAACAACGTGTGTTTAGGATTCCCAAAAAATAAACTAGAAATATTGGACCAAAAATTCCCATTGAACGTCACTTAAAATTAAATAAACTCTCTCCCAATTCTCTTCCTTTATTTTCTGTTGCAGATTCCCTTGGCGAATTTTTTTTTGAGTCAAATATTTGCAATGACAGACAAACGGACGGACGGACGGACATACATACAAACAATTTCCATAAGCAAACACTTATAAACCGCAAAATTGAGCAAAACTTTGGCCACTCAGAAGCAATCTCGAGCCTAACACGCCCCAAAATGCCTTCGCCGCTTATCAGCTGCTCTACAGAATATTTACAAGCTCATTTTTGTCGCCACCAGTGCTGCCTGTGACTGTAAGGATGAAGGCAGAAGGACAACGACATGCCGGCCAACATGCATGCCGTCGGCGCCATTGCTTTTTGCCTTGCTCCGAGCTGTCGTCGCCATTGTCGACGCCGTAGTTTTTACTTGTAGTTCATTGAAATGGTGGCAGTCAATGTGTCGGATAAACAGTTCGAGTGACACTTTTTGTTTGTCGCTGTTGTCGTCGATGTCGAGTGTGGCCAACTAGTTCAGGATGTGTCCCCTACCTACACTATCAGACAAATAGTACTTTCTAATTATTCTGGGAACTTGATTTTGTTACGAAAGATCTTTGGCAGTTGCCTTTAAATTGATCGACAAATAATAACAATTTTGATGTAGAAGCATATGCATTTGATCTGCCAGCATGAGCTCGAAATGAATATTTATGGTGCTTTTCATGAAGTTATATGCAAGTTAGGGAGAAATGGCAAATGACGTTAACATCGAACGAATATCGTCTACAGTTGATAAACAGGTCTTGTAGCATTTTGGAAAGATGAGCAAGTCTTCAGAGGTAATGCTATTATTTGTACATATGTATATAAACACATTACACCATAAGGATATAGGATTAGAAACCATGATTGTCTAAATAAAAGACATTTAATCGACTAGCTAAAACGATATATCCTACACCTTTGCTTGTTCTATACCTACATTTTTAAGTCAGAATCAACAAAATAGACTATATGTTGTAGATATACAAAAAAAAAAAACACTGTAACACATAACTTGGTGGCAGAGAAAGATTTCAGACTTACAGCTTTGGCAGAAGTAGAAGAAACTTTATGGGTTTTCTTCCTGAAAGATTTTATTTTGTGAAGGATTTAACACTCAATTGCCAAATGGGTAAACTAAATTGCGTATAATTGTTTTTCAAATTAATTATACGCCTATTAGAAACCACCACACTTTACTATTCATGGCCTCCCCTGTAAACTTGCTCAAGGTTCTTATGTTCTTATGTTCTTATAAGCCTAATTAATTTTCCTGCTTAGGCTAGCAGTGCTAATCATCGAACTCCCATTATTTACACTTTTAATGAAATAATTGTACGGGTATGTACTTATAAACATGACCATGATTTCCTAGCACTGCTACTATAGTTGTTTATTTATTTCATCCTCCATTTAACACACATTTTTATTGTATGCCACTTTATTTTGTTGCTCAGTGTATGCCTCGTACATGCATGCCGAAGCACAATGGAGTGTAAAAGTCAAGTGTGGAAATTTATAGTTCCATGTAAGTTCGTAGCCAGCCAAGATTTACACAATGAACACCTTATTCTGTCAAAAACAGGCATTGGAGACAAACTAACTCCGCTCGAATGGACCCAAGTGGCTTAAATTGTTGTTTGAGGGCGATGTGTGTGTGTGGAATATAAGTATGTATGTATCTTTGTCAATGGCAGTTGTCAACATGACAGATATAGGGAGAACACAGAAATGTATGAGAAATATTTGAAAGAGTGCCAATATTCAAGCTAAAGTGTAATGGAAATGCAAAATGTTCACCAATTATTTATAACTAATTTGAGATTCAGTCGATATGACTTGGAGGAACATAATCCTCTTAATTGGAGCTTCAGGGATCAGCATAAACCTCTTTAAACGCCGACACATTTCGTGCAATTTTTAAGAGAGATTATGATGAGATTATCGTAAATTGCCAAATAATCAACACTTCTGGAATAGTATTACTCATATATTGATCAATCACACATGATATTTACAAACCTGATTTAATGCTATCCAATGCTTTTCAACAAATCAATCTGAGCCCCAGAAATTTATTATACAATTATAAAACTTGCCTAATATTGAAAGTAGATTGGCAGTGATTATTTCTCAATCATCAAAACTCGCCAAAACTGATTTATACACATGCACGAATTTATAGACAATACATACAAGTATATATACATATAAAATATTTGTATCAAACCAACAACACAATTCCTCACAACTCTGCTTTGAAATCTGACTTTAAAAGCCATTAACAAGATCGATTTGAATTGATTAAAACGATGAACGATTCATTTTCATCAACATATGTATTAAGGTTTTGGCAGCACTGATGCGATAAGCGGCTAATTATGATGCCAATTATTTTAGAGTGCATTTGTAAATTGGTAATTTCTTGAGCAGCACAACTGACAGTTCACACAACACTGATATAACATCTATATACTATACGCGTATGTATCCTATGGCTGAACCCCCTAAAATGGAAAATCCCATTTAATGGCTGGCAATCAATGACCAGGACCTATGTAAATTCCACCCAAGCTATCGCCGCTATCTAAGCCCGCGCCGTTCTCGTCTCCCAAATCGCCTTCGTCATCATCATCACCATCCTCGTCTACATGGCACTGATTGTGGCCATTAGTAGCCAGGCCTGTGGCCTCATAGGTGTCGCTGTCTTCGACCAGACAACAATCCCCGCAATCATCTGTTGACGAATTTATCTCGTCACTCAAATCATCCAACAGCGTCACCTTGGGCGTCGCCTTCAACTCATCCGTACATCCGATGCCCGCTACTGATATTTTTATATTACAATTACCACCTCCCCCCCTCTCCATTTGCATGTGCTGCGACTGTGGAATCGGCTGCTGGATGGGCGCATGCGTAGCCCGATAGCTTAGATTCGGTGTCCTCTGCCCCATGCTCGCCATTCCCGGTGGCATTTGGGTGTGCGTCATGCTGAGCGTCGGCGGCACGCTCAGCACTGCAGTTCCAGCTCCGGTTTTGTGCCCATGATGGCCGCCATAGAGCTGATGGGTATCGGAGGCCAAATTGTGTGCAGTCAATTGCAATGGATGTTGATCCTTTCGCTCTGTGGGTTAAAGGATGCACAATGCGAATAATGGCTTATCATATTTTGTCACTTGCTTCAAGTTCTCAGGCACACATTGACACTCTCTTCAACACTCGCAGAAAATCAATTTATAATCAGTATACAAAACTTATAAGAACAGAATGGTGAGTCCATAAAACTTTTGGTTTGATGCTGGGATTTTTGTTGTTGTATTTTTAGGTATGAAATTCAAATGCACTTTAAATTGTCCAAGCCATCCGAAAAGTTGTACACTTTAATAATTAAGAATCCATAAAATTCATTAAAATCATAATAATAATCCAGAAATCGATTAGTATTAATTGAACGGATTGGTGAAATGATGAAAGAAGTTAGTTATTCCGTATATGGCATTACTTTTTTGTTCTTGTCTTTTAAGATTTCATGTTTAATGAAAGCACTATTGTGTGTTCACGTTTCCAATCAAATAATTGCAAAAGAATTGATTAATCAGAAAAACTCAGCCACGAATAGTAAACGCAACTAAAAAAGAATTCTAATTAAACATTACAGGCTTTTTAGATTTATTTTACACTGTTATTCCTTCACGCTTATAACTGCATATTTTTCAAAGTGTATTCACAATAAACACTTCAATTTGCTGCCCAACGAGGCGCACGGAAGCGGAAGTTCATGTCAGCACAGCCAGTGGGTGCATGTCCGCATGTGCTCTTGTTTTGGCATTGGTGTGTGTGTGTGTGGGGGTGTGGGTGTGTGTATGTGTGAGTGCCTGTGCATATCACGCACACACAATGTTCAGGCATCTATGAATGCACTCGCTATCGGCCACACACTTCTGCACTTCCGGGCGCATCGTTTGTCTGGCTCTGACTGCCGCAGCCAACTTGACAGCGAACCACACACTGAGCTAATATTGTATAACCAGTTGAACAAGCAAGCATACAGACTCACACTCACACACACACACACATACTCACAGACACACACTCATACAAATGCGTCATTTATCTTCACTCTGGCACAAACTTTGCTCTCACACACAATGCATATACTGCATAGAAAGAGCTGCGTTTTGCGGCAATACTTTTCACAATGCTTTTCAAACAATTTCCTATTTGCCTTGGCACTTGAACTTTGGGGGTCGTTTAGTCAAACTTCTGCTTGGGCCTTTTCCGCAACTCGGGTCAACCAACTAGCAGGTAAACGGATTAAAACAAATTCATATAAAAATGTGGCGGCTTTATATTAATCTTCTAACAATGACAGCATCCTTCGCAAAGGCTTTGAAGCTTACGCATAAAATTATAATGTGCTTTGGGGTATGGTTATGCTATAAATTGTAAGGCCTCTTCTCCTTTGGCTGATTTGTTGAATATGTTTACTTTTATTAAACTATAAACAACTTTGGTAACTAGCAGGAAGTAAAATAAGACTAGAAAACAATTTGTTGTACAAATTACTGAAGCTAATTAAAAGCGAATTTTTAAAGTAGAAAATTTAAAATTGGATTCTGCTATAATAATTGGGAAACCATTAAAATGTCAAATATTTAATATTATTATTAAAAATATTAGACAAAGCTACGACCACAGCTTCACAATTTCCGTGTGATCAGAAATTGTGCTGGAAATAAACTCAATAGTATCAAAAGGTACAAAACAGGGATTTAAAATTATTAAAGTTCAGCAAAAATATTAAAATAGTTTAATAAATGCAAGAACATTTGTGCGCGAATTCTTGTTACAATATTTATATTTAATTTACATTGTAAAGATTTTTGTGCAAATCAATAGAACTCTATAGATCTGAATTATGTATCTTGTGTATTGTATAAAGACGAAAATTAAGTTAATAGAATACAAATATTGTGAAATAAATAAATAGAAAGAAAGATAATAATAATATTCTGTTCATTAAATTTGTAAGAGATATAGTTAGATTGAGAAGTTTTTATCTGAATGTTTTTAAAAATTTCATTAAACTTCCAAAATACTAAAATAAAATGCATATTTAGAAGGAAAACATTTAATGTACATGGAATTGTCAATTGTTATTAAATATGTGATGATTTGGAATAATAAATAACTTAAAATGCTTTCTGAAACCCTCATTGCAAATTGGAAAATCAATTCATTTGTAGAAACTAAGCAAATTGTTGAAATTGGTGTACTTTATTTTAGACTGCATTGTCTACAAACGCTACGATATATGTTTTTTCAATTGACCCTAAGGGCTAGGAGTTAGCAAACGCCACGTTAAGCATAATTGAAGGGGAGCCATATATACGGTCATATACACTACATATCTACGCTTTTTGGGAATTGAAGAATGAAAAGGAACTGCTCTTTAAACAACGCTCACATAGTATTTGAATAAACTAATTGAAGTTGTTTTCTATATTTCTGTCTTTGATATTTTCAAATTAATGAAATGAATTGGAAATTTCCCACAGAACAACTTCATATGTCCGCTGAGCCCCAGTGCCGTAATTAGTTTGTTAATGGAATCATCTACAACATTCATGCCGCACAGAAAATTATCAGGAACTTACCTAGGGGAGCCAAAAGTTTTGGCTGCAATGGCAGCATAAAGTCATGTCCGGTGGTCGCCGCACGGGGCTGCAAACTCTGAACCGGCGGCACACTCAAATAGTCCGCTACAAAAACGCAAAACAAAAAAATTGTCGAAGAAAATGTTTTAGTTAGACAAAAATAAAAAGAAGGAGCCATAGCACGCAAGTAAACAATGTAGCGCTAAAAGTTAAAAAGCAAAAGTTGCCAAAAGGCAACAAACTTCTAGCTAGCAGTTGGTGGCCAAAACTTTAAAAAAGCACGCAGCGGGCTTTTGATAAAGGAAAGAACTTTGTCCAAGCAAGAAATATTGTAAAATATATATGTATTTATGTAAATGTATATTCGTACAACATTCTGATAAAGAGGCACTTGATGAGCAAGCCGAAGTGAGTGCTACAAGTTTTCAACGCTTTATGGCAAGTCTATAAAAATGTTGTTGCTAAACAAATAATTGTACATTCAAATAAATTACATGCAAAAGGTCACTAAATAATGCAGCACGCAATTTTAAGAAATTGCGCAAATAAAAACATTTTACATATTCCTAAGATTATTGCAAGCAATTTGATAATAAATTCACACTTCTCGAAACTTCTAACCTCTGCTGTTTTTTTAGTTTGAAATTAAATGTTTTATGCATTAGTCATACAAATCTAGCTTTCAGCTTTTCAAGAAACATATAAAACAGTATATTTTTCATAGCAAGTTTCTTTTACATATTCTGCTGTATTCATTATATTATCGAGCAATTGTTGTTTTGCCTTTAATAAACAAGAAATAAAAATAGTTACAGGGGGAGAGAAGGTGTTATATATTGAGAAAGCCAGAATTAAATTGAAAGTTCATTTTAGAAGAATTCTTCCTTGTCCATTGAGCATTTTTAAACTTAAACAAGTAAAAAAGCTAAAGTCGGGTGTCCCGACTTTGAAATACTCTGTACATATGTTTACAATAATTATAGAAAATAAAAAAATTAAGAAAATAAAAAAAAAAATTTGATCGATTTTACCTCTCTCGGTATTCGAACTCACGTAAAGGGTGTATAATTGCACATTTACATAGCAATTGCGTCTGTGTGAGTGTATGTATGCCTATGCGCATCTATTCGTGTCTGTGTAAGCATTTTCGCAGTCAACCAAACAGCAACATCAACAACAGCCGCGGGCAGCGCTTGAGCAGCGCTGCAGCAGCGCTGCATCAGCAAATATATTTATGGCTATAACTTCTTGGTAAATCGGTCTATCATAATGAAATTTGGCATACGGACACATAATAACCAACTGGGGGTATTTCCAAAATTTTAGTTCGAAATTCCAAGAATTACGGAAGTTACGATTTGCGGGGTAGAGGGGGGAGGGAGGGGAATTCCAAAATATACATTTTCTGCGTATTCACATAAGGCATCTGGGACTAAAATTTGGTGTTCCTAGGTCGTATAGTCTCCGAGATATAGGCGATTATACGAATGGAAAATCGGGAAAACCCCCATAGGGGGGAAGTGGGGGGGAAAATCAAAAAAATAAAACAAACTCGTATAGAATACACACATAACGCATCTTTGTGCAAAATTTGGTGTCTCTATCTCTTATAGTCTCTGAGATCCAGGTGTTCATACGGACGGACAGACGGACAGACGGACAGACGGACAGACGGACAGACAGACAGACAGGGCTAGATCGACTCGTCTCGTCATGCTGATCAAGAATATATATACTTTGTGGGGTCTGCCACGCCTCCTTCTGCCTGTTACATTTTTCAGCTCCCGCAAACCTAATATACTCTTGTACATTTCATGTACAGAGTATAAAAACACGAGGGACTTATTAACGTTCAAGCATTCTTAAAATGTAGAGAAGGATCAGCTCAACAATGTCGCAGAGTTCAAAGCTGCAGCAATTAATGGAGAGTTCTATTTCTACCCAGCACTTTGAAACTCAAAAGCTGGGCTCAGTGTATAGTAGCTCTAAGTTAAAACATCCTGGCTACGAAAAGCGAACTTGCGTTAGTAAAAGGAAATGCAAAAGACCTACTGCAAGTTAAGAAATTACTCTGGCTGCTAAAATAATATTAGTAATCATAACAGATAGTGCTTTAAGTTAAATCGTGAATAAAATCTCTCTCTCAAGCTCATTCGTTCTAATCTAAAGCTTCCTTATAACACTTACTATATATTGTACATGTTATTCCCATAAAAGTTTGCTAGCCAATTTGGCACAAGTTTGCAGAGCGCCACAAACTGTCTACAAGCTGCTGGCAATGGCGAACAACTTTTTCACCTTTCTACGCTCGGGGAATGCGTGACGACATGAAAAGCGCAAAAATTGCACACCAAAAAAAAAAAATAAAAGAGGGAACGCGGCAAACTACTCGTACTACTGAAATATTTTCAGTTTGCGCTGCGCAACAACTTTAAATATTAAAATTAATTTGGCTGTGCAGCCGACTGGCAACTGCAAGCGACATGCGTCCCGCGTCCCTCGTCCCTCGTCTCCGTCCCTCCTTCCTCCACCACCACCACCACGTTGTCCACTTGAACTGCAATGCAAATAGAAGCGCCAAAAAGTAACGCACGCTCAAGTGGCGGCCACGACGAGTGAGAAGCCAACGAAAGCAAATGTTGGCCGATGCCTGCAAATGCCTTTGGGCCGACTCGTGAACGTCCTTTTTCAGTACACATTGGCAACACTGTTTGCCAGCCATCCGGCTGCTGCTGCTGCTGCTGCTGCTGCCGCTGCTGTTTGGGCACATTGCCCACGCATTTTAATTGAAATTCCAACCTGTCAGAGTTTGTTGACAGTTGAGTGGAACCGTGTTGTCTCAGAGTATTAAGCCGACCATTCCTTTTTCGGATAATGTGGCATTGTTGCCTTTTAATTCAAAATAGAGTACGACCACAATTTAAATATGATAGATTCGTTAGTGAAAAGATGCTTAATAAATCTATTGAAAGTCGTAATTAATTAATAAGTTCATTCTTTTCCCATTTTGAAGATTCTTTTCTCAAGTTTTTGTTAATACAGCATGATTTTTGAAACCAGAGCAATGCATATGTAAAACTTTTTTTAATAATAACTGAAAAGGCTTAATAAGTAAACAAAGCGTTTCCGAAACATTTAGAAAACTAACAAATGCTAAAAATTAGAGAACTGCTAAGAATCGAGAGAGCGAGACTTGCAAGAAAAACTATAGCATAATTCTAATAATGTATATTTTTGCCAAGTTTATGTTAAATGGCCAGCCATTTTATGAACTAACTATATATTTAATTTGCTCCGCAGTATGTGCCGAAGCACATAAATTATTTGACTACGAACCGGCTTTGTGTCACTGTGAGGTAAAATGTTGGGGCGCTCACTTAAACGACGAACACAACAGCAGTCATAAATTGTTCACGCCTTTACGCTGGCACTGAAGCTGGCTCTTGTAGCTGCCTTTGCCGCTTTTTAATGACCCCTAAATGCGGCTGGCAACAGGAGCTCACGCTAATTCACTCCTTAGGCACGCCCACGCGCCTTTTCTCTCCTCAAGTTTATGTGCCGCAAAAATAAAAAAGCCATGAAACTTTGCAACTATGTATATAGTATACAAGCATATGTATACAACTATACGGGTACAACACAGTTGTACGGCAATGTCTGCTAATGATATAGTTGCTATTTTTACGCTCAATAGCGTCTGCGGTTGCCAGTAATTTGCATAGCTCAGAAAACCATTTTAAAAATGAAACATTTTTAAGCTTTACACCTACAGCCACAGAATTATGCGAGCATAGTGAAATGTGAGGAACCGCATAGTGGAGGCGGCCAAGCGTCAAAAAGGCACAAGAACTGTGTTGCTACTGAACAATACAACACAACTCAAAATAACGGGCACAAGTACAGGTACAGGCACAAGCACAAGCACGTTTCATGTGCATTTCCCGTCAACAGCGAAATGTAATTTGCCCTGGAAAGTAGGCAACACTTTTGCCGCATGCTCGAGTGCTCGAACGCAGGACGCGAATCGCATTTAGAAACCGGTGTGCTTCCAAGTTTTAATTTTGTTGGCAAGACGGCATAATTAAATGCTGTTTCAGACGCCCATGGGCAAAACTGCCAGCCGACGATGAATAGTTCCGAATTTATAACTTGCGGTGCGTCAGGATCTTGTAATGAGAAAAGTAAATGAAGCTCCAAAATGAAAAGAGCATTGGGCAGGCAGAAGCTGCACGTAATTTAAGCTTGTCTGCAACAGACAGGTGTGTAATTAAAAATAGTTGTTGGAATTTGGAATTCAAAGCATTAAATCAACAAAAAAAAAGGATAAAAGTTAAGCCCAGAGCAATGTTTAACTATTTGGAAAAACACAAGCCACTTGTCCAATTAAACCATTTTCATCCGAATATTCATTTATTTGCAATGCGGATGCGTTTTGTGGAGTCGGTAAATCTTTTGCTATAGCTTATTATTTGATATACGTTGATTTAACATTTCTTTAGATATATTATATTTTAAAATAAATTTAAAAAATTGGATAAAACAACGGACAGATTTCTTATTTTAATTTTATTTAATTTTCACAGATAAAGTATTTGTTAAGGGCTATTTGGAAACTGTTAACAATATGTTGTCGATCTACTTTTCGCCAACTTTGTAAACTAATACCATCACACTGCTATTTTTATTTTATATTTCGGGTGCATCTTCTTTTCTCATGACTATTATTCGCAAATATAGTTAACTATCGAAACTGAGTGAAGAAAATATAAACATTTTCAAAAATTCAGAGCTAAAATGTTACAATTCGGAGGTGCCGAATGGATAACAAATAAAATAAAGTTTCCCTAAAAGTATTAAATGCAAGTGTTAGGCATTTAAGCAGGCTCTTCACACGCACAACAAAAACAACATCCATGAAATGGATGACAAACTTTGCCAACGCAAAATATTAACAGCTTTTTCCTAATTCTTTCTGTGCTTTAGGCTTTAGTATTTAATGCTTTAAGTGCTCTACTTCTTCCACATTGATTTGTTCCGTATTGAATGCCAGGGGCAGTTGAAAAAATTGTCACAAGCCTTGGGGCCTGACGTCTTAAACTTTTTTTTTGTTGCCATTTTAGCGATTTAAATCGAACGGCAAGAAAACAAGAAACAAAAAGTGAACACAGAACCAAATTTGCTGCTTTGGTATTTTGGCAGGTTTCTCTCTGACTTGCCCCTTTCAGATTTTCCAACAATGTCTGCAGCTTTGCACGCCGATGTGCAAATGGAAAAACTTTTTCAATTTGCTTGACGATAAATGAAGTTTATTTCTATATAAGCATAAAATGTGTGTGTGTCTGTGCGCACGAATTGCACGAGTAGATGACCATTTTAAATATGACATAAAAGCATTTTTGGCTAGCCTAATAAAAAATATAATTAAAGTGAAAACGCCAGAGAGAAGGAGTGGAAAAAGGAACATGCGCGAAAAAGCTTTTAAAATGCAAATAACATAAAAAGTACCTTGTTGCTGTTTCATTTTTGTTTTTGTTTTTGTTTCTACTTTATTTATTGACTGATACGCCAAGTGACAAAATTATAGCGCACTCGAATTTATGGCATGCGATAAATTTTAACAGGCGATGCGAGCACTTAGAGCCTTCAGAGTATCCATTGGGGGGCATACTAATTGTGTGGCCGTAAAAGTTTTTAATAAGGCATTAAAAATGAAATTCGAAAAAGTGCAAATAAAATGTGACATGCCGCATGCTGAGGCATCCAAAAAGGGCTGCGGAGTTGCGGATCAGAGTTCTTCTTATTCATTATGAACTAGTTCCTGCACAAGGAACCATACAAGTAAAAGCGAATACGGAAATAATTTAGTTAAACTGCTTTAAATATCCTTTTATTGTTTAATTATATTATTTGTACGTGTATTCATAAGAAACAAATACACTTACAATTATTATATCTAGCTTACTTCAAAGAAATCTTTGGGCGAAAATTTCAAATGGGTTGAGAGTTGGCTTGAGGGTAAAAAGTAGTTCTAACTATCTCTGCAATCATTTAAAACTTAAGGGAATTTAATTGAAACCCAGTTTTCAAAGGTTTTTAATCAGAAATGAACAAGTAAATGAAATCTGTTTTACTTTTAAGGATTATTGAAGCCTACCAGCCGGCTATATCAACACTATGCCCAAAGAGTTGAAGAGTATTCTAACTTAGTGGGAATTTAAGCAACACCCAGTCGAAAAGTGGATAGGCCCGATGAAGTATTTATATTTTTCAGTATAAAAAGTCGAAATAGCGAAAATAAAGGAACACCTACATATTTATCAACAAATAGTCTAAAATCAAAATAAAATAGTCAAATCTTTGCTGAAATCATGTTATTTAAATGGTATTTCGGTATTAAAGACATTTAAATTGTTTAACAATTTGCTTTACGCTTTTTGCTTAGGTTTTTTTTTGCTGAAATAACTTTAAGATAAAAATAAATGAATGAAAACGGAAAATAATGCTTTCAGCTTTAACATTGAACTAGTTCACTGAACAGAACCCACTCCGCACAACTCCTTTAAATATTGGTACTTGATGGGCGGAAGGAAACTGCGACAACACTTACAACTGATGTACGAAGAACCGGCTGCCAAGCCAGCGCCAGCGCCACCGACGCCGCTGCCACTGCGATGGTGGCCCCTACTAAGCAGCATCAACGGCGACGTCGCTGCCGTCGTCTGCGTCTGTGAAGTGGCATGGCCGTGGGCATGGGCATGGGCGTGGGCGTGGGCATGATGCGCGTGTTGATGATATGAGGCGGGCGGCCTATGCAGATGCAGGCCAATGACATTGACGCCATTTAGATTGCCTAACGCACACACACACACACATACAGAAACACAAAGGGCGTCACATCAACACACACACGCACACACACAAATTAAACACGGACAGTGCACGCGTCGAAGAGAGATACGAGATTTACAATAATAGTACACATAAACCATTTAAAAAAAAAATAGAGAAAAGAATACATCAACATTAATCGTGAGTGGCGCAAAAATACGAAAATTCAGTTGCAAAAGTACACAAAATTGAACAAAATGTTACACAAATACCAATACGAATACGAATACGAATACCAATACAAACGCCTAAACACGCACACACACAAGCATATGTAAATGTGCAAATATGTGTGCGCATTTGAACAATTTTCGAATAAATCAAAAGGAATAACACGCATAGTTTTCTATTGATTTGTGGTTTGACAATTTGCATTCAATTTCAGGAAAAAAATGTGTAAAATTAAATCATCTGTTGTTTAATTAAGCGGCAAAAAGTAAACAAACGTTCCATGTAAAATGTAAATAAATTATGAATAGCTGTAACAAAATGTAAATAAAGCAAATTTACAAATGGATTGTGCATTGTGTGTGTAAGAAAGCCTACATCCTTTACATAAGCTACGCAGTTATCGCCGGTTCTTTAATGAAGGAACAACACAATAACAACATATGTATATTGCTCAATTTTTCCTTTTATACCCAATATTTTCTACATTCTTCCACTTCCACTTCTTCTAATTTGTTATACAAGTTAATATATGCTGACAGTGAATATTCATTGAGATGTGAATGCCTATTACTCATACGACATGTTGTCAGCATTTAGATCAATCTTTTACACACAAGTAATTCATTTTGAATCGTCTGCCTTCATGTTGCTTTAAATTAGAGCAATTGAGCATTAATTTGAAATGTAAAAATGTCGTCAAATGTGAATTTTATAATTCAATGCACTGGAAATGATTTGGAGACCGATAAACCACATACTCTACTTTCTATATTCATTTTTTTATGGTTCTCCTTCCTACATTCTAAGTTTAGAATTACATATTCTTTATTTGCTCCCTTTCAGTTCGAAAGAACAAAATTCGCTAGGAGATTTTAGTCTTTGAACTCTTTTTACTTTTAAGATGTATTTTGTTGTGTTTAACACACAAAGTTTTAACTCTTGATGCCGCAAAAAGTTTCAAGAGTTTCCAAAATAGTGTTCGGTCAGTTGAGTGTGAGTTGCGCAGCTTTTCTTTAAATATTATATATTAGTTCAAGGTCTGAAAAGTTTTGCTTCTCTTGCATTAGAATGTTCTGCTGAATCTTGAAATATTGATTGATTAAAGTGATTTCACTCTGTTTATTGAATTTATATTTATAGAGTAGACCCAGTTTGGCCATGAAGCTAAGCCAATATAGCCAAAAGCTACCCAGCAGGCACATTACTTGTAGATATAAATCTTCCACAGCATTGCTTTGAGTGCACACAATTTATGACCTTACGCACTGACTGACTGCATAATCCTTATGCATTCATTTCCATGCAAATGCCACTGCACTGAAATTTATTAAATGCCATATCAATATATCAAGTTAAAGCTGGCGCACAGATATACCATAAGAAATTGTGCTTCTCAATTATAAACACAGACAAGCATGCAATGCATAAAGGCGGGCTGAAAAGTAGTGTTTAAGGCACGGTATTGAAGGGAGTGGACCTTCAGTTTATTTAGGTCACCAACACAATGATGTGTGAAGTAATTTTAGGAAATGGTAGTCAACAATGCAGAAGTGATTCTTGCAAAGATGTTATTGAACACAACTGTGATTCCATTTCAAAGGAATGTTTGACAATATGCAACGATCAATGAGTAGTGAATCGCAGCTTTCGTAGCTGTGTCAAAAATGTGGAACTACAAGAATTCAATTCAGGCCACATTTCGTTCGATATACTGAGACGAAAGCGCAGATAAATTATGTAGAGATCATCTCTTAAGCGAATTAATTTATTGAAGACCTCAAATCATTTTATGCCTTTTATACACAAAAGAAATTTGATTACAGCTGCATAATTGTCGATAATACGTACGGCCCTAGTTATATATTGGCATTTTCCTAGATTGTGAGAGTTCTTTTTGCTAAATTTCAAGCATATTCATAAAACCTTTTAACAACAAGAAATCACTTGACCGGGCATTTTATAAACAAATATCTCTATTTTAATCCTCAAATATCGGCTTTTTACACTAGAGCAACCTCTTTCACCTAAATATGATATGTTTGTTTGTTTTCTATTATTTCAATTCTATTATTTTTCTTTTCTTCTTCTTGAAAACCACCTGCCTGCTGACAACCGAAAGGTATATGAGAGCAGGGCTTATTCGGATGATTTCTTTTCGGTTCGCCCTCGCACACATATGTTTGTATTTGTGGGGCTGTTTGCACACACACACACACACATGTTCGTGTTAAACGTGTTGAGTAATGGTCGTGTTTAGCGCAGGATCTCAAGAGAACAGCTGCTCAAAAGCCAGTGAAGGGTGCATAAATAATAAAATAATTAAGCAAGAAATTGAATGAAATTAGTTTGGACGCTGGGGAGCCAAACAAACCAACAAACAAACCAACAAACCAACAAACAAACAAATAAACAAACGCATATACGTAGAATCGGTAGCAGCAGCTCAGTGTGTGTGTGTGTGGTTGTGTTTTGGGTTGTTGTTGTTGTCTGCTCTGTGTATGTGTGTAAATGTGTTTTTGTGTTGAGGTGGTTATGTATTCTGGAAAAGTTTCGTTGTCTGCACTGAGGCTGTGGCTGCTTTATAAATCTGCACAGTATGCATAAAAAGAAAAGCAACGACGAATTGGAAAAAAGAATGTTTAACGAGTTCGAGTATACAAATCATATAAGATAAGCTTCTCAGTTTGCTGCCCTTAAACGCCAGACACAACAACAATAACAACAACAACAACATATAACTTTAACTGCAACTATAACGTAAAGGTACAACAAATAAAAAAACAACAAATAAAAGTAGAAGCAGCAGCAGCAGAACTTTAGGAATGCACTCACCAATTTTTGCGCTGCCAAACGCATCCTTGAACATGGGAGTCTGGACCGTGTTTGTGGTCGCCACGCCGGGCACGGGGGGCGTGGTCTGCTTGATGGCGTTGGTGCGACCACGATGTGGTGGGGGAAGTTCGCGCTTTCGACGCGGCTGTTCGACGGGCAGGACGCGACGACGTTTCTTGGGCAGTTTCGAGCGCGCCTGACAAAGTGAAACAAAAAATATAATTAATATATAGAAGGCGAACGGTGAAAGGTGAAAGCTTAGAGTTCACTCCACTCACCTGCGTGTGCGAATAGAACATGGAGAAGTTGCTAACGATAACAGGTACGGGCAGTGCTATGGTCAGGACACCGGCGAGAGCGCAGAGTGCGCCCACAAACATGCCCGGATAGGTTTTGGGAGCCACATCGCCATACCCCACTGTGGTCATCGTGACAATGGCCCACCAAAGACCGAGCGGTATGCTCTTGAATTGGTTGTCAGGATTGTCCTGTAAAAAAGAGTAATGGAGGGGCATTAATGTAGATAGATAGTCCAGTGCATTAATATAAAATGGGGAATTCCTTGACAGTTCAAAATTGATATCAACAGCAGGCTAAAACACTTTTGTGGTTCGTTTGAAAACTAAACCTAAAATGATTGTTTATATTTTCAGATTGGATTTATGTTTTGCGCAGAAGTCTACGATTGAAAGCTGAGGTGCAGATTTATCGGCGACAAATAGAATTAATTAAAAATATAGTAGATTGAATGACTGTTGTAGTGGGAAGTACTAAGCAGTTATATTATTAGTCAATAATTGATTAATTATGTTACAATCCAAGTAACAAGCTCTACACACAGATTTGGCTAAACAATAAAAATATATATAACAAAAACGATTAGGGTATAATTGTAATGCCAATAACTGGAGAGAAAATTGTTTAATAGAGTATTAATTGGATACAACTAGCAATCTGTGTGGTAGTCTATTTATGGTAAGAAGTAATGATATAAAAATAGTTTTAAAATTGAAAGGAACAAAATCTGAGACACTGCATAATGAGTATTGCTTTGTAATTGAAGTGTAAACAAAGGTGAGGCCTAAAAAAGATTCTAATCAATATTTTCAGTAACCTTTTTTAAATATTCCACAACGAATAATGGACGACTTGAAAACTTTAAACAGAAACAAACTCACCTGCAACTTTTCAGCATAGTAAGCCAGGCTGGCAAAGAACACAATGCCCAGGACAAGGAAAAACACGAGCAGCGTCAGCTCCTTGGCCGAGGCCTTGAACGTGTGTATGAGAATGCGGAGGCCGGGCGAGTGGCGCGTCAGCTTAAACAAACGCATTATGCGCACTATGGAGAAGGCTTCTAGCAGTCCTGTGTACTCGCCCATTCGCTGCATGACGTCCGTGTAGAAGCTCAGTGTGGCTGTGAAATCAATTATGTTAACCGGTGACTTGATAAACTGCCACAGATTGGGCGACACCTAGAAAATAAACCAAATTAAATCATTAAACAAAGAGAAAGGGGAATTTATAACGCAATGGAGAACGTACAATAAGCCGAATGAGGACCTCTATGAAGAACCACACATTGCAGACGAGCTCCACATAGAAGAAGGCCTCATGTGGCTGGCCGTAGGTTTCGATCCAGCCATGCTGACGCCTTCCATTGCCATTACCCAGCAGGCTCTGGTCGATGAAATCATTCAGACTACTCGCATTGTGATCCCCCAATAGGTCGCGTCTCAGTCGCTGCCTCTGATTGCCCTTCATTGTGGCTATGGGCGTGGCCTGGGCAGCACTGAAATTTCCACTGCTATAGCTTGTATAGTTCGTTACACGAAATGTAGGTCCTATGCTGCCGCTCGGAGGCGTTATGCTGTGCTGATGATACTGATGGGACTGATGTGGCGGCTGTTGGGGCAACGCACCGCCCAAGGGGCCATGCGCATGCGCAACTCCGCCGCTGCCGCTATGGCTGGTGGGCAGATCCACACGAAAACCGGGATGGGTTTTCAGGCAGAATGATATCACAGAAACAAATATAAAGAAAACCGACATGCCGGCAACAATCTAAACAATAAATACACCGATTAATATCTCTGTCTCAGTTTGTTTTGTAATTGTTGCTACCTTGGCGCCCGTTGAGCTTGACGGCTCATCGAACATGGCCCAGATTTTGGGTTTGACACGTTGCCAGCAGTTAAGCTCGCCATTGGTTAAAGCATCCTCGAAACCAAATAGGCGCGCTATTTGCTCCTCTGTGGGTTTTTCATTTTCAATATCTAGTTTATCTAATATGGCTAAAGTGTTCTGTGGACAGATCATCAACAATTTACTCCTCAGCATATAGTATGTAGTGGAGAATAAGTTAATTGCTACTCACTTGCGTATCGCGATGTATGCTATAGGTTGACCAACAGCATGGTTCTACCTGATTTGAATCGAGTCCCCAAAATTCCAATTCTTCTTCGAATAGTGGTCCACAGACATCTGTTGGATAGTGCAGTTTGCCAGTTCTACAACATGAAATAAGAATGTCTCTTTTTAATTGGCAGTATAAGATTAAATATTCACAATTTATTTAAATAATTTTGATAGTTTTATAGATGTTCTTCATTTTAAGTTGTAGCACGTCCTAATTTGTTTTTGTTTTGATTTCGGAGGAGTTCCTCCAACGGTACTTAGAATTACTTCGAAGAAGCGAATCAAAGACTCTGTGCGAGTCAAAAATGTCCCTCTTTTGTTTCACTTCCGAAGAAGCATGTCTTCTTTTTTTAAAGTTCTTTATTTATTGGACTTTCGCTTGTTTTCTTAAGAAATCATTAGTAGTTATTCAAATCAATTTTAATTTATTTTCCACCTATTTATTGAGTTGTATTTGTGTTAAACGGACCTGAAAGCTGCAAACTCGAATTAGACATAGTGAAAAGGATTTGCATGTAAAGCGCGTTTGATTTCATCTCTAAAATCTCATATCTCTATTTCTTTAAGTTCATATACGTTTTACTTATTTATGAGCTGTGGTTAAGATATGAAATAATTACGTGACAGCAGCTTAAATATTAATAACATTTGTAGAATTGGCTTAATGCTGGACATCGGCATATTTATAATGCAGACTACATTGAAAGAGGTCACAAAAGCAACAAATCCCATTCCAATGCAAACAGAGTCCACAGATCCATCCCCAATGCAAGCCATAAAGTAATTTTTGCTCATAAAATATTTCGTTGCAGTGGCGTTAAATCATATTTCTGCAGCTGCGCATTTTTGTAGCATTCAACGCTGGCGAAACCAATCAGCGCTTCATGCGAACGTTAATGCTGCAACATCCATTCATATTTCCCATACTTCCCATATTTGCGCAACTTCCTACAACGACAGTCGTCGACGACGAAACTGACAGCGCATCCCAGAGTTGGGTGGCATGCAATGGCATTTAAAGATTAAAAAAGCCATGAACGACGGAGACAATAACATTCAAAACAAAAAAACAAAACTGTCGAAAACGAAGCGATTGCAATGAACAAATTTCGTATGCTCTTTAAATCTGTACAATCTGATGAAATCTGAAAACTAGTCCTATTTGAAATAATCTATTTGTTTCAGATGTGTATAAATTATTTCAACTCTAAATGCTTGTTAAATGTTACTTGATTTCTTACTGAAATAATGGTTGTTATACTACTTGCAGTAAATTTAAGATCAAATGAATTACGAAATCAAATAATAAATATTTAATAATCAATATTACTTGGAGTGCCCGTATTACTGTCAAAAGAAAGGAAGGCTGTACTAGCTGCTTCTTAACAGACTGTTGATATACAAGACGTTACTGAAACTTGCCAGGATCTACGGTATTCAACTGTCGGGGACAGTCAGCCGATTTAATGCAAAGATTCTTTATTCAGTATTACCAGAATAAGCCCCTTCGCACCATTAGCCGCACACCCTTTAATTTACGCAGCATCTGCACAACACGCAGAACAGATTTAAAATAAGAATAACACAAAAATAAAATACATTTTCGTATTGCTTCAAGCCTTTCACGGATTGTAAATACTACATTATAGTATATTAATAATTATTTATTCTGTGAAATAGATTAAATTGAAGCTGCTAGGTTATTAGATATTCTTTTGTGGCTATTAAAGCAAGCAATTACAAAAACAAAAAAAATTAAAAATAAATAAATAAAAAAAATAAAAAAACAAAGCAGTAAAAGGTATTTTTTAAAGTCGGTGCGCTTAGAAGTCCATTGGCTGTTTCTGACAGTTCTTTAACAAGTTAAAGGAATGATCATTCAACTATTATCATTGAAATGCCACTACCATTCTTCATTTTAATTCACATTTCGGTAAAATGTACAATAATTTGGGGAAAATTATATTTATATTTATTTTCCCTTCCATATCCTGATTGTAATGAGAAACGCCCAACTTCTCAAACTACATATCAACTACAGACTACACATCTTCTTCATTGCTGGCAAAACTTTTACCACCGAGTTTTTCATGTTTTCAAACAATCCGAGGAGTCTGAATTGGGTGCGTGGGGTTTGGGTCACTAATAAATAACATAATGCATTGTTTTGATAAAACAATAGTTATATTTGGCCAAATGCCGCATTTTTTCTTTATTTCATCAGTCAAATGTTGCCGTTTATTGTTCATCCTTTTGAAATAAAATCAATAAGAATTATGGAAGATATCGAATTGTCTTGGCCTTCTTTGGTGTCAATTCTCCCCTTTTAGTTCATTGTTTTGACTGTTCCTTTATTTCAGCTGTGCAGTGATGGACTCATGTTTCATCTGTGATAATGAATTTACGCAAAAACTCGTATATATTTTTTTGTGAGAGTACATCGGCAAACACTTGATTGACATATCCTCATGGCGCTGTTTTTATTCCTTTGCGAGCAGACGCGTTATCCATCTTGCGCACAGCTTTCTCATCTCCAAATCAACTGTCAATAAACGATGAACAGCACTTTTTGTGATGTCTGCCCAATCCGCTATCTCGCATAATTCCCCTCGACGATCAACAATTTTGCAACTTCACTAAATTCACGCGTGGGAATGCAATTCATAATTTATATGTGGTGTTCATTTTAGATATCAATTAGTTGTTTATTGCAGTTTTAGATTTCAGTAATTTCTATTAATATTTAAATATATTGTTAAATTTAAGTTGTCAGCACACGTTCAATTAAGTAAATTGAATATAAACTGGAAGGTGTATATAATGGAATCGTAAACAGTGCACTGCAATGTTAAGTAACAGCCGGATCTGTTAACAGGCTGTTCTCTTTTAGTCTCGCTCTCTCGCTGTTAGCTTAATGTCCACAAATGTAAGCGTAGCCTAAGCCTCTAAACCCCTCTCGTATTGCAATTAAATAAACACTCTTGAAATCGCAGCTGTGCAGTTTATTTTGCTATCATCTATCAATGTGTATAAGTAGTATATAACTTCTGGTATACATTTATAATATATATAATTTGCTTTTCGTTTCCCAACTAATTCACATTTGTCTGTAACTATTTCTTCATCTGGTGGATTATAGAGTACACATATTAAGCTACATGTTCTGCAGGTGACTGTAAAGTTGCTGTTAGCTTACATTTTTGACAACATCTTAATAGTAGTTCCCACCACAGAATGTTAAATTAAAGCGCACAAAGCTCACAGAATCATACAAATTTGTTCACCCATTTGGAATTAAATGACTAATTTCAACCTAGTAACTACTCTGTAGTATTATCATTACATAGCTCGTGCAAGCAAAATGGCCAAGACACAATGCCACTTTTTGTGAGTGCTTGAAGGGCGCCCACACTGGGCTTAATGAAAACCGCAATTCACATGTCCACAATCATTCATAACGTGGCCTGCACATTTGCGTGCGAATTACATTTTTTTCTTCTTTCTTTCATTTTTGTCTTCATTTTCCTACCATTTCCATGTAGCACATGAAATGATTTTTAACAAGCAGAAAAGCAGAAAAGCAGGACAACAAAAGAAAAAGTTCCACATAAAATATGCACAAAAAAGAGATACTCGGCCAGGCAGTGAGATGCACATGTGTTGCACACACACCCAGACAGATATAGTATTATATGTATATATATATATGTATATAGTATGTATATGCTGACACATTATGCATGCGAATATGGCCGATGGGTACGCACAGTTACGTTCGGAGGTGCGCGTTGGGGGGCCATCACCCGAAAAGAAAACAAGTCGAGAGGATGCGGAGCAGGAGAAGGACATGTGCTGTCCAGGCAACAGCTGATATGGCATTACAAGCACCGGCCGACAACGACCAACAACGGCCAACAACTGTGGACAAGGACAACGATGCGTGGCCTACGTTCCTGCCTCTTAGCCATTTGCTGCAATTTGCGCACGTAAAAATAACAACAACAACAAGAAGAGCAACAAAAACTGTTGCAGAGGCCAAAAGTTGGTAAGCGCACAAAAGGCATGTACGTGGAACAACGGCATGCGGTATAATGGACACACAAACACACTCTTATGTGTGTGTGTGAGTATGCATGTATATAGCCCTCAGCTGCCTGTACTCAGCTGGCCTGTGTATACGAGTTATGCTCTATTCCTGCCTATGTATGTAGCACACTGGTAGGTAAGGGATAATTTTATTTTAAATAATAAAAAATACTTATTATCTTTCATTCTTTACTTATACTTACATGGTGGGTTCTAAAGTAAACGAAAGCTTCTTAAAAATAAACACAGCACACCTATTTTTTCTCTGTATTTAGAGAATCATTTTTTGAGCTAACACGCTTTGATAAAACTTTCCATTCCGCGGCAGGAATGTCTTTCAATGCCCTTTGCAATGCCTTCTATGATTTTCTAACGTATTCCCTTGAAATCAGATGTATTTAGTTTGCAAAAGTTTGGTGCCAAAGCTGACTAATATGCGGTTTATGGTTACCAGGAAAAATAAGAATTATTAAGAATTAGAAGAAAAAAATAATTATTTCTATTATCAACTTACTTTTACGAAACAAAAGGTGCTGACATCCCAATTAATAAATTAAAAAAAATTAATTAAATTAAAATAATCGCATTGCTGTTTTTAGGCTGATTATTCCTAGTTCCATATTTTCAATTTATTGCTTTATCTAATCTTTGAAAATTAAGGCTTTTGGCTGACCATTACAAGTAAAAATTAGTATAAGCTCGATACCACCAATCATTGCTATAATTTAGTTCATGAAAAGTTCTACCAAGCTCGAAACAAAATTAATCTCATGAAATATTGACTGAGTGTTGCAGACACTGGCACTTTCTAATTTCTAATTTCTAGATGGTGCCTACACAAAATTTATTATTATAAAAGATCCCCTATTCTCTGTGGCCATTGGTTGAAAGAGTACGCGACGGGTCATGTTTTTAAAATGTCAAGAAATGGATAATTGGAATTCTTCCAAGAAAAACATGAAATAGCCTCACATTTGATACATTTTCATAATAACCTTGAACCTTG